CTTTTTTCTTTTTGCTTATGTGATGCTGAGGAATGGAACCCAGGGCCTCATGCATGCAAGGCAAGCGCTCTACCACTGAGCCACCTTCCCAGCCCCTTAAATAGTTCTTAATAGGAAGCTTGCTGTGGTTCTTATTCTTTGCTTCCCTGCATCTAACCAGTGGCTGCTATAAAATTTTTCTTCTTTCCTAAGATTTCTACCAATTTGATTATGAGGTGGCTTTTATGTGTGTCTGCCTTCCTCCTTCCCTTCCTGTTTAATTCTAATGTCTGCCAATGTCCTTTCCATTAAGGCAGACTACGTCATTTACTTCTTGACTATGCCATACTTGGTAAATGTTTCTTCCAGCCCAGGAGTGTTCGTCTCTCTCTCTCAAGTTCAGATCTTTACGTTCCTGTATCTCCACACTTCCCTGAGAGGTTTCACATGGTCCTTCTGTATTTATTTCTGGATGAATAATCAACTATTTCAGTACCGTCTTTCAGTAATACTATTTTTCTAACGTTGAAATATCCTCTTTGTCGTAGTTTTAGGTTCTCTCTCAATATGGCTGTATTGTATACCTGTTTGTCTTACACTAATAATTATTTCTGATCTATTTAGCATTCAGTATCTTTGTAGTAAATGGTAATGTTTCTGATGCAATTTCTAGCATACGAGTCTTTTAAATAACGTCTATTTTTTGTCTTTAGATGGCTGTGTAAGGGGGTTGAGTTTTAACATATCCATTTATCCCGGTCAGTCTCCTCCTCTGTCATTCTTCCACCACCATCTGCCGTTTCCCCCACTGGTGACACGGAGTTCTCCATTTCTTTTTCACATGTGCACATCAAGTATTATGACTGTATTTGTCTACTCTTATATTTCTATTCACCTATCCTCTTCCCTACTACCTGTTCCCCACCCCCATTCTAAACGTGGTAATTTTATTAAACTGTCTGGCAGTTGTTGAAACGTTTATACTATGTAATTTCACTACTGTGCATACGGTACTTTACTCAGATTGCTTGTTTGCATATGCATATGCTTTTGTGTTTGTTTGTATGAGAGGTTGTATTTTAGGCCTAAGCATGTGTGAGAGAAAACATAAAACCTTTGTCTTTCTGGGCCTGGCTCTTCACTCTGTATGATGCCTCTGAATCTCATAATGACTTCCCTATAAATGACATAATTTCATTCCTCTGAGAGCATGCCAGTTCTTAATTTAAGATGTTTTGGGCACTTTACATACAACTGGTGAAAGCACAAATTGGAAGAGTAATTTGGGAAAACAAAGGAAAACATGGTTGCCATATTAGAATGCCTGCTAATTAATACTTGGTCACTCTAGACATTGGGGAATGTCTTCTCCCTCAGCTTTGTTGCACACATGGTTACCTAGGTCACAAGACTTTTCTTGTTAGGCTTTAGGTCTAAAAGTCAGTTGAGGGTAGGATACCAGTGGCTCATACCTGTAATCCTAGCTATTCAGGCAACTGGGATCTGAGGATTGAGGTTTGAAGCAAGCCCAGGCAGGAAAGTCATGAGAAGCAGCTGTGGCTCTAACACTATCCTCGAGCACAAAATTTCAGGGACAGTGCCCAGCCCATCTGGTTGTGTGTGTGTGCACATGCGCATGCACGTGCACATGGGTGAACATGTCACACAGTTTATGAGTTCTTTCCTCTCTGGTTCTCACCATCACTGCTAGCTGATGCATTTAGTACAGCTGAGCCTTCAGCATTCTTCTTCTTCTTCTTTTCTTTTTTCTTTTTTTTGGGGGGGTCTGGTCATGGGGCCTGAACTCTGGGCCTGGGCGCTGTCCCTCAGCTCTTCAGCTCAAAGCTAGCGCTCTACCACCTGAGCCACAGCACCACTTCTGGCTTTTTTTCTTTTTGCTTATGTGGTGCTGGGGAATCGAACCCAGGGCCTCATGCATGCAAGGCAAGCACTCTACCACTGAGCCACCTTCCCAGCCCCTCTTCTTTTTACCTTGTCCTCCCACCATCTTTTTGTAATTTTCAAAGAAACCTTCCAGATACTAATGTGATGAGATCTGAAGATGGTATTATGTACAGAAAGTCTTCCTTTTTACTTGGAAGAAAGGAATAGGTTCTTCTCCAAAAAAGTTGCTAAAAGAAAGGGTGTGCTTACCCCACAATGGGTAAAATTGGAAAAAGCTAGTACTGGTAAGAGGGTGTAGCTCCTGAAAATCCGATACCGTATTAGATTTTACTATACTTGTTTAGAAAATTAACAGTCTGATCACCCCTGACATATAAATTATGTGTAACAACAAGTCTACTGTGGGTTGGATACAGAAAAGAATAGATTCATCAAAAGCTATGTTTCTTAAGATTGATGCATATTTACTTGGTATAAATACAGAGAAAATGTTACAACTATTTCAATTAAATACATTTCATTTGACCCCACCCACAACTCCCAAGAAAACTTCACAGAATCTTAACTGGAATGCCCAAAAGTTGAACTTGCCTCACAAAGTTGGGAAAACAGTTTGTCTCTATAGTAGTATATATTCGTTGTTCTTCTTGTAACATTTTTTTTTTTAAATTTTTTTTGGCTGTGGGGCTTGAGTTTAGGGCACTGTCCCAAGCTTTCTGCCCAAAGCTAGCAGTCTACCACTTTGAGCCACAGCTTCACTTCCACTTTTTTTTTTTTAATTTAGAACATGAGTCTTACTAAAATTGTTTTCTTTTTTAAGCAATTTCCCTTAATATTTTCACCTCTCCTGAATCCTTTTCTTAGTTATTTTTAGTTGTGAAGGGGCTACATATGCTTTTATTTTTAAATTACAGCAGCTACTATAGCTATTTATTTATTTGTATATTGTCGGTCATGGGGCTTGAACTCTGGGCCTGAACTGTCCTCCCGCTCAAGGCTAGCGCACTACCACTTAAGCTATAGCGCCCCTTTCAACTATAGCTATTTTATATGTTTATCTTTTGTCAGCTATCTTATCAGATTTTTCTGTTATTAGTGTATTGAATCACTTGGTTACATCAATCTTGGGTATTTCAATAACTAATATATTTTAATCTTTGTCTTTATTTATTTTTTTACCTAGATCCCATCCCTATCGAGCCCTAATTTTCCCGGAAATTTATATTAGGATTGACTTCAGAATTTTATCACATACCATTTTGAGATCTAGAAGTATAACTATTTGATTTTTCTCCTTTATTTTATTGATAAATTCAATTACTTGATTTCAGGTTATTGAATCTTTCTTTATATTTCTAAAGAAAGCATCTTGTTGCATGTGGTGTCCAGTGTGTATACACTACTAATGGATTAGGTTTTCTGATACTCAGAAAGCTTTTATATCTATTGAAACGGGCTTAATTTTTGTGATGTTTTTATAATATGGGTTTAATATTATCCATATCTACTTAAAATTATTGAACTTTGTATTGTGCTCTTACTATGAACAAGTCATTGAGACCCACTAATATGTATTTTAATAACCTTAGTAAAAAGAGGGCAATCTGCTTTTTATTTGACTACTAAAAAATAGTTTAAGGTAAGTAATTTTCTTGTTCAAATAGACCCCACACTCACACAAAAACTTTTTGGAAAATCTATTTGCTATAATACCAAGATTTTAGAGCTTTTCATTTTTATATTTTTTTTCCCACAGTCTGTGGTGGACGACTGGATTGAATCATATAAACAAGACAGGGACATCGCACTTCTGGATTTAATCAACTTTTTTATCCAGTGTTCAGGATGTCGAGGTACAGAACGTTAAATAAATGTGTACATTGAGCTGGTCAGTCTAGTCATGTGACTTTTCATCTCCCACTAGTAATATATAATTAATCTTAGAAGTGTGTTCTGATCTTTTTCTGATAAAGAGAACTATTGGTAATTTAAGGATATTAATTTTATTCAGTTTTACCCCATATGTTATTACATTTCTATGTTTCTACAGATTGTGAGTGAAAATCTACATTCATAGTTTTATTGATTTTTATTCTTTTTAGATTATAAGATAAAATCTTATTTGTATGTCAGATTTATATTAGGAAGTGTGCTAGCTGTTACCATTTATTATTTTTACCATTACCAGTAGTTTAGTCATTATTTTTATACTTTTCTACTTTGGAAGCTCAGCTAAGTTTAGCTTAAAAACCATGAGTATCAGAATTGGGTTTTAAATTTATAATGAGTTGGAAATTCCTAAGACAATTTGCAAAAATAAAAGGCTACAGTTATTTTAATAGCCCACTACTATATATTTTTCTTTTCTAGGTATATCTTAACAGGTTAAATATTGCAGATGGGAAATCAGTTGGTATATCACTGTTTTATGCTTTCCAATAGAAAAAAGAGTAGTGATCTTTTATTGAGATCACTGGTCAGAATGGCGTCTCTCAAAACTAAATCTACTTTATTGTTTCTAGACTAGGTAGAACTTTTCTTAGCCAGATATTCCAACATTTATTTTTAAAAATCGACTAACACGGTTTCATTAGGCTAATGAATATGGTAAAATATAATAGATTAGGGAAAACTCTTGTTACACTTTACCCATTCGTGAAGGCCTTCAGCATGCAAAAAATATACAAAAATATCTTGTTACAGTATTATCTAGAGCCAGGTGCTGGTGGCGCACGCCTGTCATCCTAGCTATTCAGGAGGTTGAGATCTGAGGTCAAAGCCAGTTCAAGAAGGAAAGTCCATGAGACTCTGATCTCCAATAAGCCACTAGAAAACCGGAAGTGGCACTGTGACTCAAGTAGTAGAGCGCTCGCTTTGAGCTGAAGAGCCGAGGGACAGCTCCCAATGCCAGAGTTTAAGCCCCATGAAAAAAAGCATTATCTAACTTAAATGGCAAAACACTATGAATTTAGGACTCAGATATAATGGCCTATCTTCAATTTTACTTAGGATATTACACAATTTCTGAGTATAATACAATAAGAAATAAGAAGAGATTAAAATGAAAAAATTATCCAATAACATAAATTTCATAATATTATATGACATAAATTTGAAATAATAGTATTGAGCATTTATTAGATTACCAGTGATAGAAATTAAACTCATCATGCCTATTAATATTCAAACACATGAGCAGCTCTCAATGGTAAAATACAACTCAAAACAGAGATCCAGGTTGTGGTAGTGACAACTATGAAATGTTTTTTAAAAATGTCATAATATCAAACCAAATTTTTGAGCCCAGGATTGCCAGAATTAGCCTCACCTAGGAGCACTTACTCAGGGTTCTTTGAACTTTCCCACTTCGTTGCCCCATTAACGTCTTAGTAATTTTTTTTTCATGCCACCACTAGGCTGAGAAAAATTAACTTCAGTTCCTTTTGTTAGGCAGTTATACCCCTAACAGCTTGCTAGTCATTTACAAAAGCAATGTATGCAAAGTTGTATTCTGCTTCTGTATACCCATTAACTACTTAGTAACTTGTGCATGTACCTGTTGGGTATTATATAAGTCCTCAGTCTGTGGAGGCACCCACATTTTCCATTGGTTTTTCTGTCAGTGTTTGTGAAAATTGAGCTTCTCAAACATAAGATACTGTCCATGTCCAGTCTGTATATTTTGATGCTGAAAATGTGAATTACTGATGCTAACTAATAAGGTTTTTGTGTTGCATAAGAAATACCAAATAATGGCTATAAATAAAATACCCCCGGGGGCTTATATAAATCTGTGTGTGTATCCCAAGGCATCTCAGTACATAGTTTGGCACCCCGCCTCTAACTAATAAATGGGAGTTATTATACACACACATCAAAACTTCTTTGTTCCTCTGTGGAATAATTTTGAAGTGTGCATCTTGCTTTGACTTCCAGAATTTCTAAGGACTGGAGTTAGGCTCCAGAGGACTGTGGTAGAGTAGACTGTGATAATTGGTTATACAACATTAGTTTGGTTTGGTTTGGTTTTGGTTTTTGTGCTGGTCCTGGGACTTGAATTCAGGGCCTGAACACTGTCCTGGAGCTTTTGTGCTGAAGGCTAGTGCTCTACCACTTGAGCCTCAGCTCCATGTGCGACTTTTTGGTGGTTGGTTGGAAATAAAAGTATCACAAACTTTTCTGCCCCAACTGTCTTTGAACTGTGAGCATCAGATCTCAGCCTCCGGAGTAGCTAAGATCACTGGTGTCCGGCTCACAACATGTTTCTTATTGTCCAGTTTTCTTTACTAGTTTTATATCCTTACTGTATTATCAGTTTTTTGTTTTGTTTTGTCAGTCGTGGGGCTTGAACTCTGTGCCTGGGCGCTGTCCCTCAGCTTTTCAGCAAGCACTCTACCACTGAGCCACAGCGCCACTTCTGCTTTTCTGGTGGTTATTTGGAGATTAGAGTCTCGCAGACTTTCCTGCCTGGGCTGGCTTTGAACCGTGATCCTCAGATCTTAGCCTCCTGAGTAGCTAGGATTACAGGTGTGAACCACCAGCGCCCAGCCTGTATTATTGGTTTTTAATGGAACTGATACCTTTGTCTAAATTTCTGCAATTGGGAGATAGAACTAATGTATTTCTCATTTACTAATAGGTGTTTTCAGAATTTAATGAATTCTAACCTACTTACATGTCTGGGATATATAGATAGTTAAGTATTACTAAATTTTATTTAGGGGCTGGGAAGGTGGCTCAGTGGTAGAGTGCTTGCCTTGCATGCATGAGGCCCTGGGTTCGATTCCTCAGCACCACATAAGCAAAAAAAAAGACAAAAGCCGGAAGTGGTGCTGTGGCTCAAGTGGTAGAGCGCTAGCCTTGAGCTGAAGAGCTGAGGGACAGTGCCCAGGCCCAGAGTTCAGGCCCCAC